GTGGTCCCGATGTATACTTGCCCTCAACTGCATGGTATGCGGTATACTCCTGCGGCGGTGAGGTCGTATACATCGGGACCACTATACCAGGCTATACTGGGAAGCCATTGAGATTCACAAAAACTTCAAGAACACGGCCACACAGCCCGGAAGACCCACACCAGCCATCATTGTGCCTAATGTTTGGCAAAGTTTTTACTATGTTTCATATTCCCTATTTTGTTTCCCCATTACATGAGGTGGATGGGTAGGTACGATGTTCTATATCTTCAACCAATTCAATTTACCTTCATTTTCTTAATTTGTTCTCATCTTTTTTGCTGGTGGTAGGGAGTTTCAGGAAGGCTATGACAATGGGTCCAAACTACTGCTTTTGTGGTGCTGGATGGTCCAGAGAACTCCTCCCCACTCCAAATCCTGTTTGTTCTGTCGGTGTTAGTGGAAACAACCAGTACTTTCTTAACTGACTTTGTTTATTTGCAAGATATGAGCAGGTATTTGGCCTCACTTATGCCTGAAGTCACCTCACACCCCACAAACCCCACTGGGGATAAAGTTCCTATCTCAGTTTACTGCCAGTTTATTGCTAGTCCCTTGTGTGTAGCCTGTCATTGCTGGAATGTGGCTTTTTCAGACTGTCATTGATCAAAGACATATGCCTGCCATTCAAGGTCTGTAGCAGGGAACAATACTGATTATTATAAAAAGGTAGACGTGGATGTTTGTCACTGAAAATGGTAAAGGTTAAAAGCTGATTGAAAACCACATTTTAAAAATGGATTAAACTTAATTACCAAGCAGATAATCAAGCTGGGTATAAACCGAGGATTTGCAACTCCTAATTTTAAAAACGATGGCCAAAGCACTAAAAGAAGTAGAATGCAATGCAAGGGCATATCCACCAGAGCTTGTCCACACCAGTAGGCAGAAGGAAAAAGTCCTGAGGTCCGCAGTTGAGAGCGAGTTCTTATCTAGCAAAAAATGAATAAAAATAGCAAACAATCAAATGAAATGTATTGTCGAAGGCTTTCACGGCCGGCATACGATGGCTGGTGTGGGTCTTCCGGGCTGTGTGGCCGTGGTCTTGAAGTCTTGTTTCCTAACGCACAGAGAGAACTGCTCCTGTCTGTGCTCCTGCACTCTGAAGATGCC